GGCTGTCAGCGCTGCGGTTGGGGTGGAGGTGAAATGACACGGTGCGGTGCTGCGCAGCAGAGATGCGCAAACGTCCTCCTAGCGTCGTCCGGATGAGGAGGAGGAGGATGAGGAGGAGGAGAGCAGGATCCACGGAGTCTGACCAATAAGGCGCATATTGCAGCTTCACCCCCCCTGCACATGTCAGATGTCGTCATTGGGAAAACACCATCGAGCTGCCGCGGATCCTGAGCACCCTGATGAGCTCATGGGAGTCCGGACTGATGCGGTAAGACGCTTTGATTCTCTGCTCTGACTGACCACTAACCTTTTGGATTACAATGAGTCTAAACAGCGCGCGCGCGGCGTGCAATGCTGCACTGATATTCCGTGCGCGTGGAGGCGTTTGTCCGTGTCTGTCGCTGCTGTAGCTGATTTAGGGCTACGGTGCTCCAACACTGACATCACCACCATCCTCCTCCTCCTCCTCCTCCTCCTCCTCCTCCTCCTCAGGACCGTGGCTCCAGGCAGCAGCCCTCCATGCACCACACGATCCGCAGTGATTCTCAGAGCCTCGCTGCGACGATCACGCGCAGTCGGCCCAGTTCGGCTCGTGTTTCATGAAATCTGCGTCCAGTCTGCTGCTGGGCGGCGCGCGCTTCATTCTTTCCTGCTCCACTGAAAGAAAGATGGAGAGACTATAGCCAGATGTTGCAGTTTGTCCAGAGGCCACAAGATGAGAGAGCAGGTAGACTGACGCACACGCGCACGCGTTCTGTTAAAATCAAGTATGAATTCTGGTTATGGCTAATGAAGAGCCCAATGTTTAATAAAAAAATGAATTAATTTGTGTTCATTAATCGGTAATCCATTGATGTTTTGCAGTTTTTCCCAAGAATCATTAAATCACCTGCTTAGATTGAGGACATATTGTTGTCAGTGCTCCAAATAAAACAAACAAACAAACAAATAAATAAATGGTCAGCACAGTCCATCACTCACAGCACTGATTATAAAATAGTTTGGACACTGTCTAAATGGTTTAAAAACCCAGAATGCAAATTTGCAAATCTCCTTTTGTAATTCACAGTGGAAGACAAGAAACGTGTCAAATGTTAAAACTAATTAGAATAATTTGGGTTATTTATCAACCAGTCAGTAAGAGGACGGGACTGGGTATAAAAAGAACATTTTAGAGAGACTGAATCTCAGAAGTAAAGATGGGCAGAGGTTCGTCTGCAAAAGCGTCTAAAGCTTAAGTAGATTTTAGAATCATATCTCATGACCTCAAAATATTTCATGGATCTGCAGAAATCAATCAAAGCCTGAACACTGGATGGTCGTTATCTTTGGGCTCTCAGGGGCCACTGCATCAAAACAGGTCTGGATCTGTTCTGGACTTCTGTGCACAGGCTCAGGAACCCTTCCACAAACCATGGTCTGTGTGTCCTGCTCAAACACAGTTTGACCTTTGGCCTTATTTCAGTATGACCATGCCGAACCTCACTGCATCCATTACAGCAGCATGGTTTTATAAGAGAAGAGTCCTGGTGCGGACCGGGCCTGCCTTCAGTCCAGACATCTCACCAGCGCAAAACCTTTGGTGCAACACGAAACAGAAGAAGTCCCAGGACTGATGAACATCTAGAACTCTACGTCAGACTAAAATGGGACATTCTCCTCCAAAACCTCCAGCAGCCGGTCTTTATACACGTTAGATTTATAGACTGTTGTTCAAAAGGTTGGGACGTTTTGGGGAACGTGGTCCTGTGTCAGTTTCTGAGATGTGCTGCTGCCTTAAAATGTCAAATTACCGTATTTTACCGTACATTACAATTTCTTAGTTTACACATCTGACCATGTGTTCCATCCTGAGTCCTGTCCTGAGCTTCAGGACAAGACTCGGAGGTCCACCTGCACCTCAACGATAAGGGACACTCTGCTGAGGACAAAAATGTTCATATTTTAGACAAAGACTGGTGATTTGAGAGGAGGCTGAAGGAAGCCATTTACTTCAAACCAGAAAAAACAACGTTAAACAGAGGAGGAGGTCTCAGATTTGAACTTTCCAGAACTTACGATGCAGCTTCAGGCCTGATTCCACGTCTGCTCCACTGCAGTTCACAGCTTCGTGCAGGTGACCACAACATCTCTCTGTGAGCCAGACCCTGAAGAGCCTAACGAGTCTTTATTGTGCGTGGTGAGTAGTTCCAGTCCTGCAGGTGAATGTGAATCCATAACGAAGCCTCTCATGCAGTTAAAGCCTGGACCTCCTCACACGTCAGACATTTCTGATAAAGCCTCCTGGACGGGAAGAGAAATGTCTTCAGCTTCAGAACAGAAGTACTTTTTTAAAAATCTTTTTAGGAGATTACATCACAATGACACAGTTGATTAAGTTTGCCTGTGATTTATCTTGCTTAAAAAAAAACCCTGACATTCACGCACGATCCAAACTGAACGGCTCGTTAAAATGAACAACCCCTCCTCAAACAGCTGAGAGACGTTCTTTCTTTTTCTCCTGCTCATGGTTTCCTCCTCAGATGCCGACAAACATTCTTCCTTCCCACTGAGACAAAGAGGTACAGGCAAAGGGGACGAGCACAGTAGTTGCAGTTTTATATAGTGAACATGCACTCAGGGGGTGGGGCATGTTGCATGATTGACAAGTCATGTGGTACAACTCTGCATAGTGACTTACGGTTGTAAATAATTATGTACAGTCTGTAGTAATGGCGTAGACTAGACATAGAACCGTAAATCCCACCTCTACATTTGAACATCTGTGTTCCTACAGATGCATGTAGACTGTGCATATATCGATCGATATTTGCTGATCAAGCAGATTGATACGTTCAGCAGCGTTGGCACCATCATCATACTGTATAATGGTCTATATGCATGCATGCCCACAGGAACAGAGAGGCTGTTGGTTGAGAGAACAGCAACAAAATGAACAGTGTCTGCACAATTAGTGTTCTTTTACAACAGCATGACGCATGTAAGGAAAAGTTGTTTTATAAGTCTGAGAAACAAAAAAAAATTTCAATTCAGTTTATTTATATAGCGCCAAATCACAACAACGTTGTCTCAGGGCACTTTACAGGAACATTCACATAAAAGCCAATTAGTAAAAGTTCTCTATCTGAGGAATCCAGCAGACAAGATGAATCTTCACTTCATCACAGTCTCCCATCCTGAGCAAGCACAGTGGCAACAGTGGAAAGGAAAAACTCCCTTTTAACAGGAAGAAACCTCCAGCAGAACCAGGCTCAGGACAAGCGTCCATCTGCGTTGACCAGCAATAATAATAATAATAACATGACTTTAGTCTAGCCTGGCTGAAGACTTTTGCCTCTTTCTCCATTGCCTGTGCTCTGTGAGATGATTCAAACAATAAGTTGCTAACTCTTGAAACTAAAAGAACATCATTTTACAATCCTCCTCTCATGGCAGCAGATCAGAAAACTCCTGGCACGAGCCTAGGGGTCCCGTTGATTCATTTCTTGTACCTAATAATAATAATAATAATAATAATAATAATAATAATAATAATAATTTAGCCAGTTGTTCCTCATGAGTCATGATCACATAATTTGAACCAATTAGAAGCAGTGCTGAGTGGGTCATGACTTCTTGTTTCCAACTGATGTCTTATGGGTAATGTAGTTTATATGAATCCGTTGTACTTTATAGTTGTTTATGAGAAATGGTGGAATGCCATAAAAGTCACAGTATGCTAAAATAAAATAAAAAATGCAACAGTTCTGTAATTCTAGTGTTCTAGCTGTAATCTGAAACCTGCATGAAAGCTCTCCTCTGTCAGAAAACATCTGGGGCTAATGTTCTTGTTTAATAAATAGGTGGTCTGGGACAAAAGAAAACCTGGTATGTTGGTATTTTTAACACTTAGTGGATTACCAGGATGCTCTGAGGTTTTACTTACTTTACAGCTTGCTTCGATACTTTTAGAGTTGACTGAACTTGCTCTGGCCACTGTATTGTAAAATACGCTGTGTCAAATCACAGACCTACAGTCTGAGCTGCGTTAAGTCCCGTTACATTTACCTAAGTACATACAGCGCTGGCGTTAGGCTCACGCTTGTGTAGAGAGCAGCTGACGACTGCAGCACATTGTATTTTACTATGAGGGATTTGGAGCGTCGTGGGTTAAAACTTTAGTCTTTGCTCTTTTATTTCTCCCATGTCATCAGTTATAGGTAACGAATCAAAAGTTGGGGAAATAACTCCACATACACTCAAATAACTCTGAACTGCGTTAACGTGCATTTACGTTTATTAGCATGTAGAAGAGGTAACGTAGATCTGATTGTTCTTTATCACCACATGTGGACTCTGAGCCGTCCACTGACTCAACCAGAACAAGTTAGTGCCAAGATGAACAGGGTCTACAGCTAATCTGTGGCTACCGTGGTGCTTTCATGGCCCACTGCCAGGAAAGGTGCGATCAGGCGTGTTGTGTCGGACACGTTTGCAAAACATTTCATGAATGTGTGGATGGATTTTTATGAAACTCTTTGAAATGAACCTTTGGATGTTTATTTACAACTCAATACTTTTCAAGCTCAGCATGATTGAAGGCGGTCTCTCACAGCTAATTGATAGCGCAAAAATGGCTATAACGCACTAAACTTTACAAATATTGAGCTATGTTTTGGTGTGGTAGTAGCTGAGGGTCATCCCCAACACACTGAATGCTAAAAGAACACGTGAGCTTTGCTGAACAATTTGTTATGCAAGGTGGTGCGCGATTAGCATTTTTCCAACTTATTCTCTGCCAAACATTTTGCAGTTTTATGTAACTGTTTGTTACGCTCAAACTTGAACAATCTATTTGATTAAATACAAATTAAACTTTTTGAAACTGGTAAACAAGGAGGCTGCTCTTCTCACAAGTTCATCTTCAAAGTTAAAGAAAGGCAACTAAATGCTAGCAGGATGGGAATAATGTTGCAGCATGATAGAGCAGTGGTTAATGCTGTTGCCTCACAGCATGAAGGTCCTGGGTTCAAATCTCATCTGTGGAGACTTTGCATGTTCGGCCTGTGCATGCTAAAATAAAAACATGCATGAGGTAAGTTGGTGAATCTAAACTGATTTTGAGTGTGTATGGTTGGTGTGTTAGCCGTGACACTGATCCAGATGAACCTGCTGGAGATATACAACCATGAACAGCTGCATGTCCTTCAGTTTAAACCACATCTGGACAGTATACACACGGTACAGTTGTACCTTTTGATAGTATCACATATTCATTCATTCAACCTTTATTTATACAGGTTAGTCCCATTGAGCCTCGGGGACTCATTTACAAGAGAGACCTGAATATCCAGGTTAACAGTACAACAAAATGTTCAGGATGAGAAGAACCGATTTGACTTGCTAAAATAAAGAACAAACAAACGAGAAATACTAAAGCACTCAATAAGAATACAAAATAAAGCACCAAAAAGTAAATACAAAATTTCCAAAGTCCAAAAGAAAAAAAATAATAAACAACAACATGGTAGAATATAACGGTGCAAGATGAATTTGTATGAACAAGTATTTCAAGGTAGTAATATAAGCTTAAATTCACATGATGTATACTGCACATAACTAACAAACTACACAGGTTGTGTGACGGATTATTGTACAGGTGGTGAGTACCATTGAGATGAGTTATGATGGTAGTGACATGCATGATACAGCCACATAGTGCAGCAGCAATAAACATATTAGTTGTCA